AGCTGCAGGAGGGGCTGCGGAGCCTGGGCATCCCCCTGGGCCAGGACGCCGAGGAGGTGGGTCGCTGCTGGGCCCGGAGGCTGCGGGGACTCGGGGCGCCGCCAGCTCGGAGGGCGGCGGCCGGGGCTGGGCCAGGAAGGAGGAGGAGCCGGGGCTCCCCTGCCAACCGTGGGTTCAGCCGCTCGGGAACGGGGCGCGCAGCCAGGCACCCCCCGCCAACGGAGGCCCGGCGGGTTCCGAAAGGCTCCCGGTGTCTTCCCAGATGAAATCAGTGCAGTGAACGCTCGCCCCCCGGACCCCAGTCCCCTAAGCCTGAATGCGCCGCAGGCCCTTTACCTGCCCCTCGGTGCGCCTTTGCAAACACGCCATCGGACGGGAACCTTTAGCGCTCAGGTTTTCCCGGGCCCCGATTCTGCGGAGAGCTCACACTGTATCTCTTGGAAGCTGCCTTGTTGCACCAGCCAGTTTTGCCCACTGTTGCATCTGCTGGAAAACCAGCCTTGGCCGAATACGCACTTGGGGACGGAAGATGCTTGGTCTTCGGGTGGTGGGCACACGACGCAATATACAGATCAGGCGTCTTAGAAATGCACACTTGAAACTTATGTGCTCTTATTAACCACAGTCACCCCAATACCTTTAATAATAAAAAAAGAAAATGAAAAGAAAGCCAACTTCCTGTTGAGGAGGAGGGGCGACATTCCATTGATTGACACAGATGGGCTGGGCCGGCCTCTGAGTCACTTTAATTGTGCGCTGAAGTTCAGCGCCGGGAGCAGCGCCGAGGTGTTTGGACCGCCTCCAACCCACCCCGCCGAAACCCGAGAGGGCGCTTCGCGTCCCGGTCCCCGGAGGAAAGTGATCCAACCACGGGAGCCGACAACTGTTTTACAGTTTTGTATTTTGGGCGACTTGTTCAATGTCTGTAGTAGTGACTGGCCTCGAGTTTACTGTTTCTTCTCGAGTCAGCGTTAGTAAGTTACAGTTTTTAGGAAACGGCCCATTTTGCCCAAGGTTTGTAAATATTCACTTATTATTTTTTAAAGCTCTGACTGTATCTGTAGTTATGTTCCATGTCATTCCTGGTCCCTTTTGCCGATTGTCTCTGTTTTTTATTTTCTTCCCTTCTGTGTATTCTCCTTTCTTTGGGTTTACTCATTTGGTCTTTTCCTAATTTCTTGCATTAAATGCTCATTAATTTTGACCGGCAGTATCCCCTTAATCACTTCTTTAGCTGTATCCCCCAAGGCTGTGCTATTGTTTGTTAGTGCGAAGTATTTTCTAGTTTCCAATATGATTTCCTCTGTGACCCATGAATTATTTAACCGTGTGCTTTAAGTTTCCTGAGTCCATAGTTTACATTAGGGTTGACTCTGGGTGCTGTACATCCTATGGGTTTGGGCAAATGGATACCAACTTGTATCCATCATTATAGTATCGTACAGAGTATTTTCACTGCCCCAGCAACCCCTGTGCTCTGCTTAGTCTTCCCCACACCCCTAATCTTTTTATTGCCCCCCTCATTGTGGCAGATAAACATCTTTTCACACGCACAGATAAGCTTATCAGAAACTAAGGAAAATCTAGCCAGCCCGCCTGGGTTTAAATCTTGGTTTTGCTACTTACTAGTTAATTTGGGGCCCGTTTACAAATCTCTCTGGCCTCAGTTTCCTCTCTGGGGCGGAGGTAACCGTAGGGTTATTGTGAGGAATGAATGCATTAATGCCTTTAAGCAATTAATGAACAATTAGCCTGTAAGTGACCTAGTGCTGTTACTGCCGTCACTCCGGAAAGAGAGGTGTCGAAACGCCCTCTGAGACTGTGGATCTGCCACCTCTTCTTTATAATTTGTCAGTTTCCCCCTTTTATATTTTGAGACTATACTATCGATACAGTCAACTCTAGCATGTTGCATCTTCCTGGTGAATCGCTCCTTTTACCATCCTGCCTTCCCGCCAACCCTCACAGCATAGTGCCCCTCATATTTTACAAATGCCCAAATCATTGCACAAGTCAGGGTGTTGCCCTCAACCAGGTCATCTTCCCAGGTCACCACCGGGACATCTTCAGCATTTGGGCTCCTGCCTTGTGTGAGGCATATCCTTACCCCATAGGCTGCCAGGGCTCTTTGCTTGCGGGGCAGTGAGCGGGCCAGGCCCTAGGCCTCATGTCCCCACTTCTTGTCTCGGACCCCTCCTGGTAGGAACTGCGTCAGTTCTGGGCCTCCGAGGAAACCCAGATGCGGCTGGGTGTGCAGGAGATTTATTGGGGAAAATGCCCAGGAAGGGCACAGGAGAGGAAACAGGAGGGAACCAACAGGGTCTTCAGACCAGGGTGCAAGTTTAACTCCTGTGAGAAGAGTGCAAGAAGGAAGGGTTGCCTTAGATGGAACTTCAGGCCAAAGTGTGGTTCTTAGAAAGTCTCAACGAGGCTAGAGGGGAGTCTCCGAGGAAGTGCTGTCTGGTAGGGGAGTCCTGCATGGGCAATTGGCTGCCCAGAGCTAGAACCTGCTGTGGCCGGTCATGGGCTGGAACAACCCAGGGCGAGTGGACTTGGTGTGAGGGCCACAGTGCGTCCCGAGTCCCAAAGGCGTGGTGGGGCAGACTTTCCCTCCCCTGGGCTCCCGCAGCAGGTTGTCTTGAAGGTGATCTGACCTGGCCACCACAGATCTGCTCCTCTGCACGGTCCCCAGCCTGTCTTCCTCAGGGAGGTCAGAGGGACAAACCACAGTCCCCATTGCTTCACTTGGTCACACCTGGAACTCACTATTTCCCTTCTTGACCGTCTATTTTAAATTCCACTCACACCCAGCCATCATCTCTGCAGGTCTTGGTGACCTATCTGGTGGCGTGACCCAAACCTGCATTCCCGAGAGGTCTGAGCTGCTCAGGCCAGTGTTACTGTAGGTGTCACCCAGTCACCGCTTGGATTGGGCACGTGGGTCACTGCGTTGCATGCGTTTCCGTCTCCCTTGTGTAAAAGCAGCCGTACCTCCTGCTCATCAGGGTCAGTTACATCTACTAAGATGGTGGCTTCTCCTCTTGCCTGTTGGTCCCTGGACACAAGCGGGTATCCTGTTTGGGGGACTAGAAACTAACCCTGCAGAGCCCAGAGTTGTGGCAACAGGTAGCAAAAGTCCCCCTCGTAGGTCACTGGGAGTGACAGTCGGGGGACCACTCTTGCTTTCATATCTTGGTTCCTGGACTCATGCACTCTTCCTGTTGGGGACACAGAGCGCCTTTCGGTGCCCAGGACCATGCTCAACACTGAGCCAGGGCAAGGCTGTCCACACTTGTCAGTGCTGCAAAGTGCCGTCAGTCTGCTTCTCATTACCCTGCCTGCGACTCCTGTCTCTCCTACTTGGTCCTGGGCACCCTTGGGCCCCGGCTGGGTGCCCGACTTCTGTGACTCACCGTGACGGCTGCATGCTCAGCGGAGCACAAGGAAGGCCCATTCCCTGTGGACTGGAAAGGTCCCTCACGCTGGAGGATTCGTTCTTGATCGGGCCACAGCACGTCTTGTGAAAGGGAAACGCTATTGCAAAGCCTGCAGGAGTGCCTGTGACTAACCGTGGCACAACCTCCTCCCACGGGCAAGCCCATGGGTGTTTCAGGGACATGCAGTGGTCCTCTTTATGGTGTCAGGACTTGGCATGATGAGTCAGCAGGGCAAGAACTAACAGATAAGGGCTTGATTAAATTTTATGACTTTACATATATCTACATATATAAATATATAAATATATATAAATATATATAAATATATAAATATATAAATATATAAATATATATAAATATATAAATATATAAAAATATATAAATATATAAATATATAAATATATATAAATATATAAATATAAAAATATAAAAATATAAAAATATATATATATTTTGGAGCAGTTTTAGGCCCACAGCAAAATTAAGAGGAAGGCAGAGAGGTTTCCCTCCTGTCCCCACATGTACACAGACTCCCCCATTATCAACATCTGGCAGCAGATGTTGGCACATCCGTCCGTTACAACTGATGAGCCTACATTGACACATCACTATTACCCCAAGTCCATAGCTTACCCTATAGGGTTTCACTCTTGGTGTTGTACATATTGTGAGGCTGGACAAATGTATACTGACCTGTAACCACCTTATAGTATCATACAGAATATATTCGCTGTCCTAAAAACTCCCCCGTGCTCTGCCTGTTTATCTCCCCTCAAACCCTAACCTCTGGCAACCGCTGATCTTTTCACTGGCTTCACAGTCTTGCCTTTTCCAGAATGTCATATAACTGGGACCATACAGCAGGTAGCCTATTCAGATTGGCTTCTTTCACGTAGTGATGTGGATTTAAGCTTCCTCCATGTCTTTTTATCATTTGCTAGCTCATTTCTTTTTAACGCTGAATAATGTTCCGTTTTCTGGGTGTACCACAGTTTGTGTACCCCTCCCTTACGGAAGGACATCTCGGTTGGGCTCCCGAGTTTTGGCCCATTATGTGTAAAGCCAAACATTTGTGTGCGGGTTTTGTGTAGACATAAGTTACATAAGTTTTCAACGCCTTTGGGAAGACACCAAGGACTGTGATTGCTGGATTGTATTGTAAGCGTGTGTCTACTTTTGTAAGAATCTGCGAAAATGTCTTCCTTTTTTTCCACATGCCCCCCAAAATGTCTTCCAAAGCGGCCACACCATTTTGCATTCCCACCAGCAGTGATGCGTGTTCTTGTTGCTTTGTGTGAATTTTATTACTCAGCTTTTTAAAGAGCACTCCATACTTAGGAAAACACATCACGTAAAAAGCTGGTTTTTATTTTGAAACCGCTGGTCCCCATTTCCGGTGGTGCGGGATGAGGGACCACAGGCATATGCATGGAACAGCAGAGCCCTCTAGGGTTCCGGAGGGTGGGGATTCAGAAGGCAGGGACGTTGCTTCTGAGTGTCCCCTGACTCCTGTCTGGGACCCCAGCCGACTTGCCTTGGAGATGTCCCCCCAGCTGTGCATCCCTGAGGACGGGGCTGGGACCCTGGTGGTCAGAGCAGCCCTGCCCAGCAGCCACTGT